AAAAGGACATGGAGGAGCCTAAGCCTGGCATCATCACTTGGACTTCCCAGAGGCTATAGTCTCCCTAAATGTCTTTCTTATTCTCTCTTTAATCGTCTTGATTGCAAATTCCTCAACACCCAAAACAAGAAAAAAAAATCATTATTCCACTGAATCCGTAGGCATTTTATTTTGTAAATTCCTTCTCTAATCGTTTTAGAAGCTATTTAGAGAAGATTAAGAGACTTGAGTTAAACACAGAGCTCGATAGAAATGAAATCTGCAAAGCAATAGGAGTGCTGCAAAGATGGCAAGAAAAGGGAGGAAATCGTGGGCACACCTCCTTGGCAGGCCTTGCCTCCTCCGGCCGTTTCCTCAGTGTGTGTTTCAGAGGAGCTGTGAGCGACAGCCACTCGGCTGGAGGGCTTGGTGCTCCCATCTGGGCACACTCGGAGATAAGGCAAAATGTGTGTGCTGTCAGGAGGGGAGGAACCGTGAAGGAGTAAATCAGGGAATTAAAGTGGAATTTTTTGTTAAAGTGTTTGTAGGCTGAATTTAGGTGCCAGACAGCAAAAATTTGGTAGAGCTTTACATATTAAAATTGGTAGTTCACCAGATGACATTTGAATTTTTGTGAGGACATATGCCCCTACTAAATCACATATTGTCATTTATGAAAATATTTTCACTTTTATCTTGTAAATTAAGGATGTATTTCAGATGTATCCTTTCCAAATCTAAAGCCTTCTCAATTCAATAAATTTGACAAGCATGTTTTAAGCACATAGGTGTCAAACATTGTACTGGATACTTGGAAGACAAAAATGAGTCAAATGAAGCCTATATGCCTTCTGGGTGTTCACTGCCTGGGTCTGAGAAACAGTGATACATCAGGCCCACAGGAGATCCAAGTAACTACACAGGAGATAATTGCAGTGTGTTTCCACTAAGCCAGTGGATATATTAATCAGTGTCAATGAACTAAGTATAGAAAAGAGTGCACTAAGGTGGAGATGCCTTTTAGCTCAACAGAATTGCACAGGCAAGCAGCTGTTTGCTTGGTGTGTTATGAGCCCTGATTTGGCAGTCTCTTCACATATAAAACTCTCATTGCTTCCAGAATGAGCTGGATGTGAATCAACAGAGAGAACAGGCCCAAAATGATGATGCTATCTATAATTGTCTCCTGTATATAACTCATTAAGTTCTATTGAGCCTAAATTTTATCTGTCTCAGTAGATTATGGGTAGCTCTGAGTCTACGTACGTAGCGCCAGCTCCTAAATTTTGTTTAATGAAAATGTCTTACATAATCCATTTTATTCTACTAAGAATGGACAGCAGGTCTACTAAAGTTCACAGTATCCACACTTCACAATCAGCTTCCACTTCATGATCACTTCTAGTTATATATGCTAAAACTATGTGTGTACCAGGACTCTCATATAAGAATATTCTTGGAATATTGTTTGTAGAAGTTTCCAAGAAATATAGCCTTACTATCCAGAAGTAGTAGAATGAATAGTAGTATATTCAAAGTGCGGGCTATCATATAGCGATAATTGGACAAAATATAGCTAAATATGACAGTATAGATATCTATGAAATTTGTAGTTTGACAGCACGCAACACTAAATTATGTTCTTTAGTGATACATGGTAGGTGGCAATTATTTTTAAAATCAAGGAAATAATTATAAAAATCCGGATAGTGGTTACTTCAGAGGGAAAGCCAAGGGGATGTTAGGGGCTCATTAGAACACAGGCACACAATTCAAGAGAGAACCAAATAACTAAGTAGTCAAGATGAATATTATCTTAAAGCAATATTTTTTAAATGCCCAAATTAATGCAAAATCCATGATGAATGAAATGTCAGAATGTTAAGTAAAGACAGGGTTAGCAGGGAGATGGAGGTATTCTCTCTCTCTCTTGACCTGGGTGGTGGGTTAGATACATGTTTGTGCTTGTTCCCATTGGGCTTTTCTGTAAATGTATTCTATTTCAAAAAAACTGCCAAAGTTGGTATAAGTGGGCACAAGAAGGCTCTAATTTCTTGTGATATTTGCTTAGTCCCATATTTCTGTCCTGTCTGAGAAGTTTCTCCCAGTTTGTTTTAAATTCTAACATTTTTAAATAGAGCAGCAGTTCTAGTGCCAAATACAGTCCCTAGTGATTTTGACAGTAGGCTTAGATTGTTCATCAGAAAGTTGGCTCAGGGTTTGCCTTCCTTTTGGCACCCAAATGTTGCTTAATTCCAGGTGCCAACCTGCCTTATGGCTCTGGTTCATACCAAGCAATTAACCTTCATTATAATGTTTGGTTCACATTAGAACAATTGTTCGTTGATCGCTCTAGTGAGAACGTAGTCATGAGCATGCCATGTTTTTTATTTTTTTCCTGTTTCTTAAGGTTTTTGCCTTGCTCCCAGTCGACCCCCATGCAGCCACAGAAATTTCTCTTTAGATGCAGCATTAATAAATCTAGCTCAGTATTTTATAAAATCTGTTTGATATTTAGATTTGTATGTTAATCAGCAGATTGTTCTCAGAAAGTAAAACAGATTAGGTAATTCATTATTGTTGACTTGAGCTGACACCAGAACTTTGGCAGCTTTCAGATCCTGATAGTGCTCGAATTACTATTCCAGGTAGAAAATAGGGTTGTAAAAATAAAATCTGAAAATAAACTGATAAATGAGGCTTATTACTTGATATTAAGTATTTCCTCAGAATGTAAGTAAAACTTATCTTTGATTAGATAGAAATCTGGAGTGAAGAAAAGAACTGGAAACTTCATCCAGAATCATGCTGGCTTGTTTTGTTTATTTCATTGGTTTGCCTTTGATTCATATTTCCTTAGTTTGAATTTGAACTATCAGGAGTTTCAGGTGGGTAGTTCTTTTCATATATTTTTCAAGTAAATATAAATGATAGTTTCATAATTAACTCTCTTTATGAGAATAAGAAAGCTATGTAAATATTCCTGAATTTTTTTTTAAACTTCAAGGGTAGACAGTCAACTAGTACATACTCATCAGTAAATTCTTAAAAGTTTTACTTTTAAAAAATATCTTTATTATAAGTGTCATGTGTTCATTGCTCAAAAATTAAGCAATATTTTTACTTTATAAATGCTAGTAAAAAGTTACCATATTCCTGTCAAGAAATATTCATTGTTTTATTCTGTGCCAGGCACTAAAACAAACATGAGTATAAAGTAGCATTAAAATAAAAAAGGTCTCTGACCCCACAGAATTTATAAAACAGAATTTTAATGATGCCTTCTCATGTTTGATAGTTCAGTAAACAAATTTTTAAATAATAAACAAAATACAGTTTCCTTCCCCAAAGTAAATGCTCTAGATAGATAGATTACAGTGTAACCTGTCATACCACATTTGTAGTATGTAAACATATTTAAATTTTTTATAAAAATAAAATCTTTTGTAAAGCATTCAAAAACATATATCTCTTTGAAGCTTTCCGCCTTATTTTAATTATATATATGTTATTCTTTTAAGACTACATAGTATTTGTGGATGAATATAAGCTTAATTGCTCTTTATTGATGGACATTAACCTGGATCCTAGTTTTTCACTAACAATAGTGCAACAATGACACCTTTTACTTGTAGATATTTGGAGCCATCAGTATGTTGTTTTAATGCTTAAAACAAATTCCTCTCTTGGCCGAAACCGATTTGGCTCAGTGGATAGAGCGTCGGCCTGCGGACTGAAAGGTCCCAGGTTCGATTCCGGTCAAGGGCATGTACCTGGGTTGCGGGCACATCCCCAGTGGGGGATGTGCAGGAGGCGGCTGATCGATGTTTCTCTCTCATCGATGTTTCTGACTCTCTATCTCTCTCCATTCCTCTCTGTGAAAAATCAATAAAATATATTTAAAAAAAAAGAATGAGAGACATGTTATATGTCTTAAAAAAAAAAATTCCTCTCTTGTACTTTACAAAGAATTATGTGAACAAAAATTACAGGAACAACTTTTACACACAGAGACTTTTTGGACCAAGGTTTCATAATGACAAGTCATTACCTGTGTGTTGTTTGTTGGCTCTACTTGGAAAGAAATCCTACGTGAATACTAAACAGGGTGCGGACGAATTTTTCTTCCCTAGTGGCAACTTTTCTTCTTAGCTCTTTTATTTCAGGTGGGTAATGTCAGCCATTCCACTCCACCCTGGATTCATACGAGAGTTAAGACAATTGACTAGTTCAGATGATCCTTCTTTGCTTAGTGAAAAGCAACAAAGGAAGTACAAGGAAACCAAATTCAAACTAAATTTGCCAATTTTATTTTCCCTTTCACTAATTTATTTTGTTGCTTAGCAGAATCGGTGGCCTTTTGTACTTCAAATCTCTTCTTGTGAGAAGATGATAATGTTTGGTTATGAACCTAAACTAGTCAACTTATACTCTAGAGATAGACTATGTTTCTTAGAATACTACAATATTTGATGTATTTCAAAATACTGTACCTATTACTGTTTACAATCCAGATGATTTTTTTTACATTTTTCTAAATAATACTGGAATTTCAGACTATTTAGTAAATTCTTGTTATAGTGTTTTTCATTCACTTACACTTTATAAATAGAAAACTTTGGCATACAATTTTGGAACTTATGAGTTTATTTATTAAAAAAAGAATAAAACAAAACAAAATCTTTTTATCCGGCAACTGTTTTAGCATAACAGTCATAAATTTGACTTTTTTAGTTAGCCCTTTTTAAGAAAGTATTTTAAAAACCAAAGCTCTTTTTTTTTTCCTTATAAATAAGGGATACTTGTGAGGGGAACTTCAAGTTAATATATACCATCTATACAAAAATTGTAAAATTCTTTGCTTTGTGGAATTCCCTTTATTTTTGTACATTCTCCAAGGCACTTTTGAAGAGCCAGAATTAATCTAGCTAACAATGCTCTTTAACAGCTTGGCCTGCAATCAGTTCTCGCTCTTGTCCTTTTGAATTGATTTGGCAATCTTATAAAGAATAAGATGTGTTAGTGGATTACTTAACTTGTTTGTTGTGGAAATAACAGCCCTTTCATTTTTAATTTCATGGTAGAGTGAACATTTATTCTTATTTGTCATTTATTGCATAATAAATACTAAACGTTAGCATTTACAATTAAACAGGCGTTAAATGTAGTAATTGTTGAAAATTAGATAGCTGTCCCATTTTAAATTGACGGCTGTAAAGTGTGTTTCTTTCTCTTAGGTTACTGTTCCATCAAATACAATATCTATGAATGGAAAGTCAAGACTCAGTCATTCCATGTCCCTTGATGCCCAGGATGGCCATTAAAGGTTGCCCTGACCTACTGCCCTTCACCTCCTCCACGTCACAGAGCAACTTCATAATGGGAAATGTTAGCAAATATATATTCAGATGTACACTAATATATTATCTACGAAAGTGTAAGAGTTTATGCTGTGGCTTTTAATGCCAAAAGAAGAATTATCAGAATTTATAATTTATAATAATATTTTTTACCTTTTTTGCCTTAAGAGCTGAATATGCTACTTTAGAACTTTAAGACGAGGTGTTAATGACTTTCATTTTTTTTTCAAATGAGAAATAGTCATGTTGTTGTTGTTTTTTGTTCCACTTACTTGTTGACACATTATCTGCAATGTGACTTAGACAAAAGAATAAATTAAGAGTCATAGACATATTTGTATGATACGTGAATAACTAGGCAAACCTAGAGCTGACGTTGGCTGCCTCAGTATCACGGTTTAATTGCAAATGTTATAAGTTATATTAAAGCCTATTTTGTGCTGAAAGTATGATCTAGAAAATGAATGATATTCAATAAGTATATTCAGTTCAACGGTTAATTTCAGTGATAAATCATTTAGTGTGCAACTCTTCTGTGTTCTTTGTGTAATTACAAAATCAGTGTCAAATTTATGGGGAGTACATTATATTTTAATATTTTATTACCATAAAACACTTGGTTTCTTAATCTTTAGAACTTAAATTGCACAAGGTAAATTTTAAATATTTTCTGTATATAATTATGTTATTGTCACACAGATATTACACATTTTATGTGCCAGAAGCCTTAAAAATCTTCCTGTGAAAATGATATATTGTAGCAGTTACTTCACATTTAATATGTAGAAAGGAATAGGAGTTAGTTTATGTCCATATTGGAAAACTTTAAAGACTACTTAGAGGTTCCAGAAATCTTGGTTTTAGTTAAAGTAAAATGAAAAAATAAAGCCATTTCAGATGCAAATATTCTAAATAATAATATATATTTACATTAAAGCTAAAACTGTTAAGTAAAGATATTGCTATGACATATGTCTAATATTTTACTGCCTATGGAATCTTGTAGGATTTTATGGTTTCCCATCTTACATTTAAGTCCTTTAACCATTTTGAGTTTATTTTTGTGTATGGTGTAAGTTGGTAATCTGGTTTCATTTTTTTTTTTTTTTTGCATGTAAATAATAATATATATTTACATTAAAGCTAAAACTGTTAAGCCAAACAGTGCCTAATGTGTTTGCTTACAAGTGTTCTGGAGTCTAGACCTTGTTAATATTCTGTTCCTACTTTAAGAATTTAATTGCTCACTTATTTTAAAAGCTTTGTCAAACAAGCTGATGTTATGTTGGTTTTTCCTAAAGCTACTGAATACCTGTCTCTTTGAAAAATGTGTTGATTTTTCCCCCCTGTTTAATAAAAGCAAGTTATATATCTGGGATGCTTTTTTTTTTTAATGCAGTTTGTGTCAACCAGCCTATTTGTGTACTTCACCTGATGAACACATCTCTGTTAGCCAGTAAACAAACAAGAAAAGTAATACCTACCATTTATTAGGTGTCCCTGGTCTACATGGAAGCCCAGGCATTATAACTTAAATGCACTGTTCTCCACAGTGGCTGCACCAGTCTGTCTTTCCACCTGCAGTGCAGGAGGGTTCCCTTTTCTCCTCATCCTCACCAGCACTTGTCATTTGTTGATGATAGCCATTCTGACAGGTGTGAGATGGTATCTCATTGTTGTTTTGATTTGCATCTCTCAGATGATTAGTGACTTTGAGCATGTTTTCATATGTCTCTTGGCTTTGTGAATGTCTTCTTTTGAAAAGTGTCTATTTAGGTCCTTTGCCCATTTTTTGTTGGATTGTTTATCTTTCTTTTATTAAGCTGTATGAGTTCCCTATAAATGTTAGAGATTAAACC